ATTTGGAAATTGGACGTGAATCTTGTGCTTGCTGTGCACATTGTGAGCGTGGAGGATCCAATCGAAGGAGTGTTTGCTTTCCTGGTTGGATTTGCTGTTTCAGGGAAGCAAGGTGTGGAGCTTTTTTTTAAAAAAAAAAAAACAATGAAAGACATGCGGGCCACCACATTTTATAAATTTCGATGGATTTGACATTTAATTGGGTTTGATTTTGATGGGCTGTGGCGGGGGAATTGTGGCCGCTGGATCTCGATTTTGTGCAAAAACTACGAAGTGAGATACTTCAAGGCGAAATCGAATTAATGATTTCATATCGTATTCGGCAGATAATTTTTGTGATAAAAAATTTAAAATATAAACTCTCATGTTAAAAATAATTTAGCAAATTAATTCAAAAGTGAGATTTCCTTTAACTCTCCAATAAATGTAAGATAAAAATGTCAACCTTCTTTAGATCTACTCCAACCTTTGAAATAAAACTTAAATTTTGGGTTCTAAACATACTCCTTGGGGCAAATTTAACCTGAGGATTCCCTTTAAGTTAGTAAGGCTAACTCACCATATATGTGTATTTTTTTTAAGTTTTATATTTATAAATTCATTGAACTCAATGGTTAAGATCTAATATGATCAAATCCAACGGTAAAAAAAAACATATATATATATAACGGTCCACATTTAAACCCAACGGTAAAGCAATTATAATTTTTTTTATGTGTTTCATATTCTTTCATAGTTTTCCACGAGTTTCATGGTATCGGTTTAATGATTTTTCAATATTTATCGGAATCTAAATATTTTTAGATTAAAATGTTATAAAATCAAATTAGGATAGTCTACATAGTTTTTATTTTATTTTTTTTAAAAAAGTTACTTTAAGAAAAAATATATCTAAATTCATTGTTTAATAATCTCAAGCTAAAACTTTAAGCCAAAAGGGTTGGAGGAGAAAAACCGTTATGAGTTAAAAAATTTAGGTTTTTTTTTTTTTTTTTTTTTTTTGTTTTTTGGAAAAAGTTTGACCGTAGCAAAACTACAGCCAAAACTCCATTAAACAACAAGCCCAAAATTACAAGCAAACCAAAGGTCCAACTTACAAATATACACAACCAAAAAAGGGCCGAAACCAACATCAAAACAGAAAGAGGCCTTAGAATAGTGAAGCCCAAAAAAACACACAACAGCCAACTGAGAAGCTTCTACAGAAATCGCCTCCACTGACAAAGATCCAAGCCAGCCTTTGGAAACATCATCCACCACCGAGTAACGCCGCCTCAGACACCACCGCCAATCCCGAACAGCAACCAGATCATAGCCATTAACAGGAGTAGTTGGCACCAAAGAGGGATTAGCCAACTACCAGTAAGAAGCTTGTGGAAACCCATAAGCAACACTACCGAAAACGGCAAACAACAAGGAGAACGTGGTGGTGTGGGAAACACCCGAGCTAGGAAAAACACCTAGCTCTACACACGAACTCAAAAGGAACTATGGCTGAAGATTGGACTAAGGAAGAGATAGAGAGATGTATACCGACGGGAGATGAAGAACAAGACAGGCCGGAGGGGAAAAAGGGAGAAGCATATGGAGAAGTGAAAAGAAAGAAGAAGAATATGGCTGAAGATCGGACTGAGGAAGAGATAGGGAGAGGTATACCGACGGGAGATGAAAAACAAGACAGGCCGGAAGGGAAAAATGGGAGAAGCATCTGGAGAAGTGAAAAGGTATACCGACAGGAGATGAAGAACAAGACAAGCTGAAGGGGAAAAAAGGGAGAAGCAGAAAAGAGGAGAAAACAGAAGAAGAAAGCATCTGGAGAAGTGAAAAGAAAAGAAGAATAAGAAGAAGAGAAGAAAGAAGACATGGTAGAGAAAGGGAAAAGAGGAGAAAACAAAAGAAGAAAACATCTGGAGAAGTGAAAAGAAAAGAAGAAGAAGAAGAAGAAGAAGAAGAAGAGAAGAAAGAGGACACGACAAAGAAAGGGAAAAGAGGAGAAAACAGAAGAAGAGGACATGGCAGAGAAAGGGAAAAGAGGAGAAAACAGAAGAAGAAAGCATTTGGAGAGGTGAAAAGAAAAGAAGAAGAGAAGAAAGAGGACATGGTAGAGAAAGGGAAAAGAGGAGAAAACAGAAGAAGAAAGCATCTGAAGAAGAAGAAGAAGAAGAAGAAGAAGAAGAAGAAGAGAAGAAAGAGGACACAGCAGAGAAAGGGAAAAGAGGAGAAAACAGAAGAGGAAAGGGAAAGGGGGCAACCGACTCCAGCCAAAGCCAGAGTCGACGCCTGAGAAGGGACAAAGATGAAGGTCCTCACCAAAATTGGTGGGGGGGGGGGGAAGAAACTCTCACAGAAGGAGAGATAAAAAAAAATTAAAAAAAAAAAGTTTAGGTTTTAACCAAAGGGTTGGAGATGGTTTTAACATGCTTTACATATCTTTCTCAAAGTCATCTTTCTCTCTTCTCAAATTTACCGTTAACAAACCGGTATTCAAGGTCAATCCAATATCTTTTCTCCCCACCGTCCACCCTTCTCTCACACTCTCATGGCCGATTCCTCAGTTAGGTTGTTTGCAATCTCTTATTCCATTTCACATGGCGACCTTTTTGGCAAATCCAAAAGTTTGATTTCTATGATGATTTGTATTTATTACCTAGCTAGGTCTCAACAAGCCTCGATAAGAGATTGAAGAAGTTGGAAGATAGATGTCAGGTCAGTGGATCGATCTCATTACCTCTACTGTTGGCAAGTCCCTTCATCATCCATTGAAGTAACCATTTTAAACAATTTTGTATAGCGCAATAGCTGCAAGAATGAGGCTGGAAATAATTTCTATAATTATTTATATTCCTCTTCAAAAAAAAAAAAAAAAAAAAAAAAAAAGGTTGAAGAGAGAGGAGATGAGAAGGTGAAGCTACAATTAGAGCGTGAGGAAAGACCAAGAGAGAAGAAGGTAACTGGAAGAAAAGCTGGTGCTGGACAATTTTATCTCCGCACCTATAATGGAGTTAATGAAAATTTCGCTTTTGGGATAAATTTGCAAACGGTTTTTACCATGAGGGTTTGAATTCTAATTTTTTTTTAACACGGTGGACGTTATCTTTCAAATATTCTATCACGACATGGAATATTAATTTGATTTGGCCTTACTTGAAATGAAAATTTTAATAGGTATAGACATGGAAAATTCATACATCGACCAAGTAAAAGAGGAATTGAAATGGAATCAAAGCCTCCATTAAGATGTACCTAGCCTCAATTCGTAAAGCAAATGACAAGTCTCATGCATGTGGCGAGATAGTTTGACCTACACTCATTATTCAATACTTAATCATCTTTGTTTTGATCGTTCCTGATTTCAATTCTTCCCCAATTCTTGAATTTTTTCGTTTGCTCTAACTTTATTTATATTGTCGATGTTTTGCTCGTTCCTCGGTTCAATCCTTCCCCAAGACGCCTTCTAGAATTTTCTCGTTTGCTCTAGCTTTATTTATTTTGTCAATTTGAATGACTGATGCGATTTGCCCATTTATTTTTTACAAATTTTGTTAGATAACAACTCTTAGTCGCTATTATGCACAATTTGATCATTAAAGATTGACTCTTTCCCATATCCTCTTTATACTACAAGTTCTTCATAGCTAGATATGGGTGGATTTAATGGCGACGTGACTTCTATGTGTGGTGATAGTTATTATTTAGCGTTACAGATTCAGTTAGGAATTTGAGCTATATGGATTCGGATATGAGTAATGCATTTTTGATGTCACGAGTTTTTTTGTTATTCATACTTCAGAGTTTTTGTTTTCACAACTATGTTAGAAACTTAGAATTCTTGTCTTAAACACCTTTTTTTTTTTATTTTTTTTATTTTTTTATCACGGGAGTTCGATTTGGTTCGACGTTTTAAAATTAAACTTACGATTCGAGTGTGTTTTTGGATTTGGAACAAGGATGGCGCTGCAATGCATTCGCCCAATTCAACTTTGAGTTGCTTTCCTTTCGGCGATTGCAAGCATTGCAGGTGCGGTGCACTACTTTTAGAGATTAAGGTCTACTTTTGAAGATTAAAGTTTCCTTTTGGTGCTTTTTTATTTTTGCTAGGCCTAAATTTGTTTGGACAGCTCGAATGAAGAAATTTTTAATTGTAAAGAGAATATAAGTAATACATCACATGTTTTAATAGAAGTGGAAAATTTGATTTTTTAAGTTATTAACATTTTAGCATATATATTCCACTATTTGTATAGTAACACGTGATGAACTACCCTATGTACAAGTCACACTGAAATTTTTTTTGCTCTAATGGTATTAAGTTGTAGCTCACTTATTGCTTTAGTAGTTTGCTGTACTTCTATCTTAAGTTTTGTACCGTTTATCTTTTTTAATGAAAATTCTCCTTTCGACAAAAACATATAAAAATAATAAAAAAAAAATTAACGAAAAATCTAAATATTTTTTAATTTAATGAAAAAAAAAACAAATAAATGTATACTAAATGATATCAGAAAGAAAGATAAAAATGTAATTTTTCATTAAAAATGAAGAATACTAAAAATATTTCGTTAAAACTTTTAATAAAAAATCCCTAAAATCCAAAACGAAGAGGACATATCACGTGCACCTATTAAGATAGTGACGTCCCATGTTTTAAAATATATCCAACATTAAAACCTGATCGAGTTTTTATTTATTTATTTTTAATTTAATGTAATTTAATTTTATTATTATTATAAAAATAAGGACAATTGATGACAAACTATGGTTACCACTATTTTTCAGAGATCGTGAAGACTCACATAGGTATTTCAATATTTCATGACCATAAATATGACTTCTATACCAACAGCAGATTTCAAACTTGAGATCTTCAATTTTTAATTTTAAAAAGAATCTTGTAATACTACTAACTCGTGGTTAAAACCTGAGCAGGTTAAATACAACTAAAACTGATTGACTAAATCTATCAAGAAAAAACCATTCCATAGAATATCTCGCCCCAGTGCTTTAGGAAAACAATCAATTCAAAACTTTCTCGGAATCGTATGAAGAACAAGTCACACAAAAAACCGACTGAACGAAAAAGAAAAACAAAAAAAATCCATATCCTGTACAAAATTTTACATCCAAAACACCTGCAGTAATTAAATTATAAGAGTGAACCGGCAGCTAAAAAGGAGCTGAGACAACATCCTGGGGTCCTCGTGGTCTTATGAAATAATCATCCGAGTACTCGGGTTCCTCAACTGAATCTATCATCGTTTCATCACCATTTTGCTTGATTGAACTAGCTACTGGTTCCAAACCCTGCAAATTAATAATTAATTTAGTTGATTTAAATCTTGGTTTCTAATATTGTTAGATATTCATCGAGAAAAGTTATTAAAATGGTTCTTCAACCACAACGTACCTCTGTGAAAATGCTCATTGCTTCTTCTATATTCTTTGTATTCACCACATACTTGGCTGCCTCCTGCAAGATATCACCATAGTTAAAAATTAAAAACCCATAAAAAATAGATAAAATGGAAAACAAATTCAAACTCATGATTCCAGCTGTAGCAGAAAGGATAAGAAAATGATCATGCATGCATTCGTCATATAAAGGAAGAAGAAAATGATCATGTACTCGCCATATATATAGAACCTCTTGTATATCTTACTCTCTGCATGCCTTTTACCTAATACAAAGAACTTATACGGTAAATAATAAATCATTCCCTTTTTGCTACTGCTACCTGAAATGAGATATCCTTGCTAAGGAGCATATGCATTTCCCAAAAACCCAGAAAAGATTAGAACGGTACCCTTGCAAATTTAATTTGGTCTATCCGCAACGTTCTTGGCTCGGTTTCTATCGATGATTTCCTATCCATCCGGGTTGGAGCAGCTTCCATTTTCTGAAGAGGGAGAGACAGACGGGAAGATATAGAGAGAGCAGAAAGATTTAGAGAGAGAAAGCAGAAAATTTCTTTTGCTTTTTGGGAGCTGAAAGACAGAAACAGATTAAAGCGCGTAACGAAATGATATCTGATGAAGAAAATGAAATATTGTGGAGGGATTGTGTTTATATATACTTGGTGGTAGGTCGTGACTCATTGACTGGTTATCTCACAAGCCAATGCATGGGGAGACCAAGATCACCACGTAACTAACGTGGCCGGTAACCACCACAGAAATTCGAGTGCGTGGCATTCAGGCGACGGGGATGCCCCACGTGGCGGCTGATGGTTGACTCGTCCTTGTGTAGAAACTGTGGGTTTGCCGTGATTCCGACAATTTTTTCCAAATGGGGAGACTTATGGTGGTTTTCTTGGGGACACTTGTCGGCGTAGTGCTGCGCCCTACGGTGACCAACCAGGGAGGACCACGAAGGCTTTTCATTTGCCAAACTTCAAAATAAAAAATGGATTTGATCACGAATAAGGATATAGTTTGGTGGAAAAGTTAGAGACGCAATATTCTATATTTTTCATTTTTGAGAACAACCTTAATGAATGAGACCAAAATTAGGACAGAAATTAAAATGCATTAAGAGAATGTGAGAATTCTAAATTTTCGAACATTTTGAAGTGCTATGAACGTATTCGGATAAAAAAAAATTTCAATTATTCTGATTTTATGGTTATTTACTTAAATTATATACTTTAAAATTATTTTGTATGTCATTGTTCAATGTTCTTATATATTAAAAAGAATAAGCATACTAGTATACTACAAAATTCAAATTCCAAAATTTCCGAGTATGACGAAAATGTATATAAAAATTGTCATATGATCCAATTTGATTCTGAAATTTTGAAACGAAATTGAAAGGTAGTTTCCAATCCGATCCTTCCCAAAAACACCCTACAGCAAATCAACCATATGATGTTGACCGTAGTTTCCGATCCAGTCCTTTCCAAAAATACCCGTCAAACTCTAAATACAATGCCGCCCTCCACAATTAGGGGTGGTTCGGTATGGGATCCCATACCGAAACCATTGTCCCGATTCCCAAACCGAAATTTTTGGGAATCCCAAATTCAATCCCAATCCCAAACCAAATTTTCGGGAATCCCGAAATAATTTCGGGATTTCGGGACAAATCGGGAATCCCGAAATGTTTTTGGGCTTTTGGTTAACTATTAAACCTAATTTTAGTTAACTATTAAACCTAATTGATACTGATTAAACCTAACTGCATTTCAAGTAAATATGATTTCTTCCTTCCAAAATTCATTTTCTTGAGAAATCAGACACTAATATTTATTTTATGCTGTCAAATACATTCGAAAATCCAAAAGGACATTCACAACATATATAGAATATCTAAGGAAAGAAGATTGCTCAACATTGTGCAGGTCTGCCATTAGCCATTATTGTGCTTATGAATGACTAATCTAGAACATAATAGTTAACCTATTTTTCTTAATTTTTTTTTCCAGACTCTAAAATTGATGCTGAGAAGGAAACACTAGGAAAGAAGATGCTTTAACATTGTGCAGGTCTGCCATTAGCCATTACTGTGCTTGCGGGACTTCTAGCTAGAAAAGTCACAGTTGAGGAGTGGAAAACAGTAAACAAGAACGTCGATGTGTATATACGGAGAGGAGCTAATCTTGACCAAGAATACAAAGGATGGAGTAAAATGTATGGAGTAAAATGTATACCTTTATCTCTCACCAACAGCACAATTCAATCGACCTTGAATTTGCAGGTCAACAACTTGACTGGAGAGCTCTCTGCCTTCAATTTTTCAACTGTCATTCAAATTGAAATGGGTGATTGGTGAAGCAAATGGAGAATATTGGTGAAGCAAATGGAGAATATTGGTGAAGCACGGAAGGAAGGCTGCTGGAACTTGGAAGCCTGGAAGCCTGGAAGGAAATCGAACGGAAGTGAAACTGAAAGGGGATCTAATCTAAGTCATCTAACCTAAAAACAAATGAATGGCTAAGATTAAATCTAAAACAATGAACGGTTGAAATAATTCTATTATAATAATAAAAAAAAATATATATATATATAATATTTATTTCAATTCGGTATGGGAATACCGAAAAAATGGAGATGGAATACCGAATCCCATACCGAAAATTTCGGTTTGGTTCGGGATTACATACCGAAAATTTCGGGAATTTTGGTTTGGGATTTTTTTGGTTTGGGATCGGGATTTTTTCGGTTTGGTTTAGGATTTTTGGGATTTTTTTCCAGCCCTATCCACAATAGCTGAATAGTGTTGCAGTTATATTTAGAATAGGAATGTGATTGTGTAAATCCTAGGGAATCTGAGAATGTATCTTATATTCCTATTAGGAGTAGATTACCTATTAAATGTTGTAATCCTAAAGGGAAAGGTTTTTACCTATCATACTACTATAAATAAATGCACAATGAGGTGAATCAAACATACCTCACAATTAAATCACTATCTATTCTCTCTAATTGTAGTTGGCCCCCCCTCTCTCTAAACCCTAGATCGTTCAATCAAATAAGCTTACAACACGTTATCAGCATGCTCTTGCCAGAAGCTGAGGAATTGACGCACCGTAGGAGGAGACTATCATCCACAAACTTCGAAGGCTTATTTTTGTTTTTTGCTAATCAGGTACACTTAAAATAAAAGAAGATATTTGAAATGTCCACGAAGCATGAAAACATTTCCCATGATACATGAACCACTTTATGTTTATATTTTCCTTACGATAGATATATTGTATATGTTTATATCTTTGTTAATATATATATTTGTTTCATGCATCGCACAATTAAATTGTTAAGTGGAATATGTGAGTCAAAGTATAAAATTAAATTAGAAGCAAATTTAGGGTTTCTTAAACCCTAGGGGATTTCAAAAAAAAAAAAAAAAAAAAAAAAAAAAAACAGAAGGGAGAACTAGGCCTCGACACTGTGCACGCCACCGCTAAGCCTTGGCCTGGGGTCAATTTGATGGGCCTGAAGCGCTGAACCTGTTTGCACCTTGGCCCGCGCCATTCAACTAGCCCATATTGTCTAGGTTTTCTTCCCCGAACTGCACACCGCAACTTTTTATGGTTGCTGGGCTTGTGCCACAACTACGGGCCTGCAGCCCTAGTTCTAGGTCCACACCAGCAAGTTGTTATGCTTGCTGGGCTTTGCAGCAGCCCCGGCCCACATCACATACAGCTAGACCATTCCGGTTGGGCTTCTCATCCAAACCCACAAGCCAGCAAACATGCTAAGCCTAAAACTTATGCCCCATCTTCAGCCTAAAATTGAAAACCAGCTGCGGCTGAGGTTTCTCCCACTCCTAAGGCCCTTTAGGGCCCTGCTTTTTACTAAAGGCACCCAACCCGAGCCTAATTATTTTTGGGGCAATATTTTTCGACCCAAATGCTATTATTTTAGCATTCTAAATAATTTTAACCCGTATGTTAATCGTATTTTTGCTTCTACAATTGACCCTATAAGGCTCGATTTATTGAATTAATTAAAAGTGACATGTAGTCCATTAATCTGATAATAAATCCAAAATTATTGACCTAAATATCACTTTGGGACATTAACGATTCAATAATTTATTTTTATTTTTTGAACCGTAACATACTTTCGTAGTAACGAAGCTCTCACACTTGAGTTTTCGAAGAACCTCAAATCCACTATATTCAAATTAGTATATTGCATTATGTATTTCTTGTAGGAACCTCTCATTATGAACTAATTGTTCATAAAACTAAATTGAACCTGTAGTTTCAAATTTAATGCCTTTGAAACCTGAAGTTTTCATTCAAAACATACCACATGAAACCTGTAGTTTTCATGCATAAATTAAACTAATACATGTCTATAGAACCTGTATGTTCTATGATATATGTCTATGGCTTACCATATGACTAATCACGTTTTTCCCTCTGTTTTAGGGACATGTCGAACTTGAACAAGCTCAATTTCTCCGCTCTAGAAGTCTCTGGAAGAAACTATTTGAAGTGGGTTCAAGATGTGAAGCTCCATCTGACTGCAAAGGGTATTAGAGCCACCATCTAAACACCCGTCGCCGACAAACCTATTGACGAAGCTTAAAAGGCTACTGCAATGATCTTCATTCGAAGACACATCCATGATGCACTGTAGACTGAGTATCTCGCTGATGAGGACCTACGCACCCTCTGGCTTACTCTGGCCGACTGTTTCGATCACCAGAAAGACATATACTTGCCTAAAGCAAGACACGACTGGCAACATCTTCATTTCCAGGACTTTAAGTCTGTGAATGAATACAACTTTGAAGTTTGTAGAATCTGTTCACTCTTGAAATTCTGCAAAGTGGAACTAACCGAATAGGGTCTCATGGAGAAGACCTATTCGACCTTCCATGCCACCAATATTGTTCTGCAGCAACAATATAGGGCATATAATTTCACCAAGTTTTCGGATTTGATCTCTATTTTATTTCTCGCTGAAAAACAGAACCAACTTTGATGAAAAACCATCAATCTCGACATACTGGCTCGAATACCGCGCCTGAAGCGCATACGACCAATTCTAGCAGTTATAAACAACGGAAGAATCGTCATAGCCGTGGCAATGGGCGGCAAGCTCCCACGGGCCCAAGATCAACAGAGTGCCGCACCTAAGGGAATAAATGTGACCCAGCAGCATCCACCACTCGCTTCTAAGGCCCCAAACTTCAAGATCAAGGGCAAAGTTCCCGTTCAGCCCGCTTCTACTGAATTGGACATGTGCTATCATTGTGGATCAAGGGATCATTGATCACGCATATGATGAGCTTCCCCTGAGGCTATTGCCAAGTATCATTCCATTCATGAGTTTAACTTTGCACATGTGGAACATTTGGAATATGCAACTACATCAATGAAGATATCAGATTTTTAGGATGCGTCAGCTCCTATGAATGAATAAATTAGACATGTTTTTAGGGTGTTTACCCTTAGTGACCAAACCCACTAGAAGTGGCTGGCCCCTACCCCCTATTTTTCTAGGTTTATGATTTAATTTTGAACAATTTTTCTAAGCATTTGGAATAATTTGTTTGGTTTTGGGTTGTTTTGAATAATGG